CTGAACTCATTCATAGACATACAGAATAGATACTTGCTTAACGTAGAGAACGGTAGGTGGAGATACAAAAGAGCCACGAGAGCGGGCCTCAAGATACGCAACGGGTGTTTTGTTGTTTAGCACGAAGAGGAGAAGAGAGAGAGAGACACAAAGAAGTAGATTGAAAAATGTGTCGTCTATACATCGTGAGATCAAAAAGGGCATTAGAAGGATACTATACAGCGACTTAATGATAACAAGTAAATTAACTGTGTATGTGTAGTGATGTGTATCTGCGTGTGTGTGTGTGTGTGTGTGTGTGTGCACAGGCATTTCCCATCGATGTCGGAAGATACTCCACCGATGCGTGAACACCCGGACTCCAATTTTCCTTTGATAAAATCGTCGCGGCCTAATTTCTTTCAAAACGCCAAATATTTCCACAATGAAACCTCGAGCGAAAATCTTTGCTTCGAAAGTGTAAGATTAAGGTTGAGTTATAAATCTGTCGCAGAGAGAATAAAGGTTCCTCTGTTGTCGCAGTCTACTTTTAGGGGCTGAGAAGACCGCAATTTTCTTCGTTAACATCGAATTACCGCGGCGGTAAAAACGACCCTCCGAAGACGGAGGATAAAACATCATCGGGCTATCCACCGGTAGCGATGGGATATCCGCTGTGACTTCGTATCGGTATAATGTGATCGTTATACACCTCCGCAGCGCACGCGGCATTCGAGGCGCGTGGCCGAGGTACGCGTTGACACAACGTGCGTTACGTCGACGTATGTATATTATACAGCCTCTCTCCTTCCAGGTATACATAACGCGCTGACTGTGATAACGAAACACCCAGCATTAGATAATTTGTATTTGTTACTTGTGTACAGTATATATATATATATATATATATATATATATATAAAAGGCACATGTGTGTGTCTGTGATCACGGGGCGTTGCATTCTTTTTCAACTTACCATAGTAACGTCATCTATTTTTGAGATACTTCGAACAAATATGTTGACGCGGACAACCGCGGGCCCATCTAACATGGCAAACAGAACAAACAAAATTAATCAATCGTTGAGCAGCAATCAGATACATCGAGGTAGAGATGTGTGCGTGTGTGTGGTATGATGAAATTCTTAGATCCCCTCCTGTGAACCACCTATACGATTGACGATGAGTTGTGAGATGTGCTTAATGTAGCTTATATATTCTTATATCTGTTGGAAATTTTTTTAATTTGTCATTTCTTTTTACTTTTTTTTCCGTTCGACAGTCTCATTTATTATCTGTCCGACGATCTTCCAGCGTCGTTCAACCCTTTCTTTCGATTATCCGTTGCCATCAGCTCCTTGCCCCGTTCGAACGAATCTGATTTAACGCCCGACGGACGTTTCAGCGCGTTTATCATCGTTAAAGTGTAACGCCGCTCCGATACAGGGAAAACGTTTAAGCATGATCTTAAAATGCGGCAGTAAACTTCACCCTAAGTGTAAAGCACTGTTTTAAGCAACCGTTCCGCGTCTCTTAATCGCTTTTTTATAACGTCTACATTACATTTCTGGCGCGCAACGCGAAAGTACACTGCTTTATTTAGAAGCGCTCCTGCTTCGTCCATTCAGGAGACTCATCCGATTAAATAACGTTTAGCCTCCCGTACAGCGATCTATATACCTTCAATCGCACAGAGAAATTCGTGTTCAGTAAATTCAAGTGGATCCGCAGATAAAAATCGTGCGTCCTTCCTCGACTATTTTGCTTTCTTCGTTTCGTAGTCATGTTATTCCTCGAATCGATTCGCCGGATTTTTCCGCGGTTGCGAAACTATTTCGCTCATTGAGGAATCGCGGCCGCGGAAATAATGCATGACGCGCGGGGGACACGAGCGTTATTCCGTGGAATCCATGCTGCGCGCGGAATATCGGTCGTGCAATACTGCGAAACGAATTTTCTCGTACAGCCGTCTGTTTACTCGCACGAAATACTCGCACGCTCCCAGAGGTAATAGCCAGCGTCGAGGATAATCGATACACAGGGGACGAACCACGCGAATCACGAGATACGGATCAACGGAAGGTAAATAAATTGTACGCGCCAGCATACAGTCGAGCAGTTGAAATATGAAAGATCGAATAAGCGGAAACGCGATGAAAAATCGATGACAGCCGCCGCCATCGTCGTCGTCGCCGTCGTCGTCGGGACGACGTGCCTCATCGTACCGTCGAATTTAAACCGATGGCTGCATTCAGCGCAGAGAAAGCAGCTTGTAAAATTTTTTAGTACACACGGAGAAAAATGGATAGCCTTACGATATAAAAAGTAAAGGTGTAACATCCCGTGGATGAGCAGGAGAGTGAATTTCAAGCCAAATTTGATTGGCTGTATTCCAGCTATAAACGTATGAGGAAAGCACACTTGAGTTGAAATTTGATTGCCTCCAGTATTGCTATCGCCATTATTGCGCAATGTTACCCTTTATTTACATTTCTCGAAATAAAATCTCGCACATAAAATTTACACTCTTTTTCAATAGCGGTGGTATTTTAAATACCTCTTTTTATCCATTCTTTTTACGGGAGATTTCACTCCAAGAAATATAGAGAGTACACCTTTTGTTTTTACATCTTGAATAAATGATAAAAATACACCCTGACAAGTCTAATAAAAATATTCTGGCTACTTTTGCCGAGCTTACGACAAACTTTACTTGCCCGCGAATAAAAATACCGGAAATGTAAGGTAAAAAGTACATTATAATTATAGGAAATCCATTCGAGTGATTATTACTTATGGTAGAGTAAAATTTACTATTCTCAAGACTGTAAACGCAAACAACTCTCAAGATTTTATGCACATCTATTTCTTACCGTACAGTAAAGTAAATTTTGTCAGCACTAAGGCAAAAAATACTCGTCAATAGAGTGAATTCTATTGAGATGTATGGCAATTTATAGATTAAGAAGTAGTCACCAATTGCAGTAGCGTAAAATTTACTTTACGAAATGTACTAGAAAAGTAAAGTAAATTTTACATAAGTAGATGCTAGTCCCTATATGAACCTGCCAATTCCAATTTCGTATAAAATTCAATTTACCAGAATTCTAGCGAATACTACTTTATATTTTTCCTCGTGTATTAGTCTTGTCCTTATCTTTTCCACTGAATCTACATATATAAACCAATTATATTAAAGGATTTACTGATGAATCTCCTCGGAGAATTTCCTTTCTAAAAATATTTAGAGCAAAATTATAAATATTTTTAATATTTCTGAAATATTTAATTATAATTTTGATATTTCAACAATTCTTTTTAATTTAAGGAACTCTTATAGATATAAAAAACATAGACCGCATATAACTTTTCTTTCCTATTGATATAATTTTAAATAAAATGTTTTATGAATTATATGATATTTTTCCAACGTAATAATGTAAATATAATAATATAATTTAATATTTTATCTTTTTATATTTGATTTTAAAAAAGAATTTTGCTTACAATAAGCTATAGCGGTTCCTCGACAAATTCCTGGATTCATCAATGAAAAAATTTTACAGCAGCAAAGCTGCTTTTTCTGCTGAACGCAGCCAATCTCGGAAATGAATCAGGTACTTGGAAAGCCGACAAAGCGCACGGAGCTACGTAGTTTATGCACCCGAAGCGATATACTCGCGGAACGAGTTTTACACAATTTTTTTTATCCGAAAATACCCTAAAGCACAAAAATCTCGGGAAACCATACAGAACGACAAATGTACAGAACAGAATCGTTGAGAGATGTAGACCCGATGAAAATATTCACGCCGCGAGGGACAGCTGGAACTTCATTTGCTTGAACGCAGCGCGGCGTTTCGATCATCGTCTCTCTTTCCCTTTTGTACGCGAAACAAGGAGAGCTTCGGCAAAAAAATGATGTGCGCCGTGTAGACGCAAAAATAAAAATGGAAAGGAAAAAAAGGATATGTATCCATGGAGGCGAGAAGGGACTTCTTTGCTCGGAACGGCAGAAAACCTGGAGTGCCGCCCATGTTTGTGCAACTCCCGCGCGATATTATCGAACGAAATTTCCATGTCGCCGCATCACGGTCCGATTAGCGTCAAAGCGAGACGAGACCGCGGCTCTCCTTTGAACGCTTACGCACAAAAAATGCGCGGCGAATATGACGCGCGGACGTGACGTCGCGGCGCATAACGCGCGATTTCCGCCCTTCGAAGATGTATTGTTTGAGCGCCCCTCTGGCGAACTCCATGCGCCGTGTTGACGACGTGTCAACAGCGAGAGACGTAGAACACCTTCGCACGTCAATCGTCGTCGAAGTTACGCGACATTTGACAGTATTAGGAATTGACGCCATGAAACGCCATCGGTGTCACACGGCGGCGTGGAAAATGCGCGCAGGCGTGACAAATTTATACAGGAAAGCCAGACTAACACACGTAATTCGCAAGCAGAGACGTTTCAATCGTGGTTGACAACTGATTTATTTCCCACCTAGGATTTATAAATTATTCCGAGAGTAATGTTCTCCTCCGTAGAAAACTATCTTCGTCGTCGTATTATATATACATATATGTTTCGAAATGCTTTCGTCTGAAGGTTGCACTCTCGTTAGTTTTAGATATATCAAAATTATTCACAGCAGGATGGCGATAAGAGATTAATAAGTTAACCGTCGTTCCAATTTTAATCTACATATCTCTCTATATCGATCCAACTAATTTCGCGAAGATTGGATTGCGTCTTATTTCAATCGGATCTACAGACTGTCAGCGAAACAGCCGGCGGGTAATCGACAGCTATCGGAGGAGCAGCTCGCGGCGATGTCGTCATCAATGGTTTAACCGCGTTTAAACGTCGGCGAACGTCGGTGTCAGCATCATACGATTGGCGGATGTATTCCCTCTTGTTATGTCATTGTCGTCATCGTTGGGAGTCTAACTGTGTTTGTAGCAGCATGAACGAGCCAGCCGTATCGTCCTGAGCCATACAGAGTGTTTGCGTATCATTCCGCCCTACATGAACCAGGACAAGACGTCGGACACGTAGTGCTCGTCGTCATCGTCCTCGTCGGCGTCATTATCGTTTTCGTCTTCGTCATCGTGTGTCATCGTCGTCGTGTCTTTGACATCGCCCACTTTTAAATGCGTGATCTCGCCACTTCAAACGCGCAAAACAGAACGCTAAAAATGCTTTTCAAACGCGAATCCTCCAAGTTCAAGACGTGTCCTCGTATTTCAGTCCCGCGCGCAAGAATGAACGTTTACTTTAAAAAAACTGTCATATTCTAACGCGAAGAAGATAAATACTATTTTTGAATATTTATAAGATCGAGTTATAATGTGGATAATTATCAGCGCGGATAAATGATGTCATTTTTTGTTCTACTAGAACTACCTTTTAAATAATTCGATTTATTACTAGAGATTGGCACGGAGATATTGAGTCATTTAGAGAGCGTATAGAAGAAAAGGCATTTATGTTACCTGCAAAGTAAAAAGTTGTCTATAACCCAACCCAACGATAATATTGTCAAAAGTAGCTGCAATTGTATAAAATTATATATATGTAATCTGTGGACTAATTTCATAATATACAGACTGTTTCACAACCATCGTGCAATTTTTATTACAGCTTCGATTTTGTCTTAGAAATTTTCTATTTTCGTATTAATAGAATTTTTTTACTCAACTTTTTTTTACCTCTAGAATACGCTGTATTATTGCACGGTGGTTACAAGACATCCCGTATACTAGTTAATCGCAATAAGATTCTTACTAGACTTTTATCATTGTAAGAACTTTTCTTTTGTTATCACCTACGAAAGTATCGAACGGTACCAATGCTCGTGTTATTGGATACCCAAGAAGTCGAAGTTCGGTACCCGAGTAGAATTTAAGTGTTCCCCAAGTTTTGATGATAAATTCTCTCTTGTTGAAAAGCAATTGGCATAAAGTGGATCGACTCGCTTGTACACGTAAGCAACATGTTCTTTGTGCGAGAAATAAACGAGACTACAGCTTTCCGCTACAAAGGCGACGGTGACATTTGAAATTTAATTATTCACGCCATGTGCAGGGAACGTTTGCGAATTTTCGCAAGACGCACACACAATCGATCGATCTAACACACACAGTACCGAACAATCTAAATTTAGTACACCCCCGCTATTTAATTTACTAATAATATACAAAAAATTATAACCATAGGATTCCTGTTACTAAATATAAATTGAAAATATCAATAGGCAATTTGGAGTCAGCGCGGTAATAATTAATTGTTCTTAAAAAATTTAATTTATTACAATTAGTTGAGAAAAGAGATTTCTGAACGTTTTTGGTTTGGCTATGCTTTTAGTCATCATCAGCAGATAAACTAAAACGCATAATTTCGTAGCGTAACGCATAATGTACAAAGTTAAGTAACACCTTCATATGTTGTTGTTTTTTTACGTAATGGTGCATGGATCTTCAAGGGGATGCGGAAAACTGGCCGTGCAAACAAAGGTAGCCAGCTCATTGGGAACGCGCCACTTTCTCTATCTGTACACTGAGAAAAAAATGCTGTTTATTCAATTAAAATCTATATCACGTGCTGTAACTAACATAAGTAATTAATCCATGTATATTATTATGATACAAAGGCTTTGATTATTGTTTTAATAATCAAGATCTTTGTATCAATAAAAATATACATGAATTAATTATTTATGTTAGTGACAGCCCGTGATATGGATTTTAATTAAATCAACAGCATTTTTTTTCTCAATGCATGGATTATTATTCAAATGATACATAATAAGAACAAATTAAACAGCTAATTATAACCAAATTGAATAACCGCTCACCTCACAATCTCAGGAATATCTCCTGTCAGTTGTCCTTCGTATTCAAACGCACAGTGAATAATAAACGCATGTCATGATGAACAAACACGTGGACATTATTCAATAATAAATAATATACAGGCTTATTTACAGCTTACTTTTACAATATTATTGTATAATGATAGAAAGAGGAAGTATTTTTTCGTATATGATTTTGATGTTCTAATACTCTAGTTTTCAATTTTTCGACATGTTTCCAATAAACTGGGTAACTCTGTTTGGGCAGCATGAACAATTTTCTGCATTCCTTTGAAAATCCCGTGCACTATTACATCAAAAAACAACGTGCCAATTTATTTTTATTGATATATGAAAGCGTTATTTAACTTTATAACTGTGCGTCACGGTATCAAATCATTCGTTTTCGTTTATCTGCCGATGACGGCTAAAAGCATAGCCGAAAACGATCAGAAGTTTCTACTTCCAACTAATTGTGATAAATAAAATTCTTTAAGAAGAATTAATTATTGCGCTTTGTTTTCCGCACTATCTTCATTGATATTTTAAAATAATTTATTAACACACATTAAGATTAATATATTTAGATTCTATTGTTTTTAGCGGAACTGATATTGGAGTAATTAATGTTCTCTCTCATCAGAGAGAGAGAGAGAGAGCGAGAGAGAGAGATCTTCACCAACTCTCGATAGAGTTTCACCATAAAAATTAAGAGAGTTCTCCGGAACTCTCCGTATAGTACTTTAGACCGATCGATCGTCCCTTGAAATCACTCTTTGATCTGGTGAGCGCTGCTCGCAGCGTGCTTTTACACGAGAAGAGGTCAAACACGAAAAGGCCTTCCTGACGGTAAACCTAACACGTTCGCTTCGTACGCGGTACGGAACGAACGAGAGTGCCGGAACGCACTCCCGACGTAACTTCTCGACGTGCATTTCCGTGCAGCCCGAGCGGCCGCGATGGTACGTGTAATCTCGTTACCTATTGTGAAATACAAGTTTCGCTCTGCGCAGCACTCTCTCTCTCTCGACAGGGTGCAACGGGCCGGCCGATCGTCCCTTCGCGAAATCACGTTAAGCGTTCCACTGCGAGCATTGCGAGGAGTTTCCCCAAACAACGTAAAAGCCTGACAGATGTTTAAAGGTCATCCTATAGAGAGTCTCTGTATATTTCTATCCATTTTCCTTCCTCTCTTATCTCAGAAAAATCTTTGTGGAGAGAAAAACGCGCGTCGTTTTAGTTCCGCGTGTCATACTCAGAACTCGATACAACTCGCCCCGCCCCGCAATAACGAGGGAGATCGAGAGAAATAAAATTACTTTTGGGAGACGGGATTTCTCTTCGGTAGCGTTACTAAGATTGCGGTACGCGACATGGTTAAAGATGAGCCCGGCAGAGCGGCTGTTACAAGCGAGACCGCTGCTCGGCCGCGTTAATCTTTAACTAACTACCTGTGGTAAAAAAGGAAAAAAAAAAGAAGAAAAAAAAACTAACGATCTGTGTGGTCACAGAGTACGGTCGGCAGGTCCGAGCGTAATCGTACCCCCCGACTCTCTCCGTCCGCACCCCCGCAAACCCGATTTGGGTGTCGCTCGTTTCGGCCACTCCTCGAGTCCGTCCGATGGTCCGTACAATGCGACGTAACTAACATACGCAAAATGTATATAAGCTGGAATGCCACATGCCTGCGTCTATGCTATATAGAGTGCTAGAGTTTCTGCATGGGGTGAGGTTTCTCGGGCGCTTTGGTCAAAGGTTAGTAGTGTGGTGGTAGAGCGGTCGGTCCGTATGGATGTGGTGTTCTCTCGAGAAAAGGCTGCTAGCGGTGATAGGCTAGCAACGAGGCGAGACGAGGCGAGGCGAGGCGAGAAGGCTATTGGGGGGGTTGGGGGTTCGGAGTTGGGCGAGAGCGTGGGTGGAGGAGGACAAGATGCTGCTGCTGACCGGCACTCTGCTACGTTACTGCTGTCTACTATGTTGCGTGTGTTGTTGCTACCACTTTTGCCAGCCTGCCTGGTTTCTCCGAGGAAGTATCGAGCTCTCGCCGCTGCCGTCCGGTTGCTGCTGGATTTTCCCTCTTTCCCCTCTGAGATTTCGCTCTTTCTTTCTCACACATACACACACGGACACACACACGCACACACACACACACACACACACACACAGACACACACGCACTCTTTGACTTTTCGAGATCAAGACCGCCTAAACCTACTTTTGCGCCTACTGCGTTTTTGCAAAGTGACAGAGACAAATAAAGAAAGGGGTTAATCGCGTCGGCAAGAGAAGAAACGGCGAGTTGCGGCCAATTGCGGTTTCAAAAGGCTTTGTTTGATTGTGTTATTAGCGTTTATATATACTTACCATCTTGATGTCACTAATTGTCGCAATGCTTCGCACAAACAGGTTTACCCGGACAATGGCCGGCCCATCTAAGGGCAAAAACAATACAGCTCCCTTTTAGTGAATCAGCATTTCTGGTGGCTTACATACTCTACTGGAATGTGTCCGAATATTATCTTTTACGACGCGTTTGTCGTCTATTTATTTAACCGGGTTCCACCGAGTCTCGATGCGATTCAGGGCTGTTCCGAAGGACGGGTGCGCGGAATGATCGAGAGTATGAGCCGGTTTCAAATCAGTTACGTCGTCGGACTCGATTGAGATTCGATTCACGCGCGAATATACTGTCAGAATCGAGGGATGAGACCATTCTACAGTCTCGCTTCACCTCTATTTTCCTCGAGGACCGGCTCTAGAGAGATTAACACGGGGATCACGTATTCGGATGGTGACACCTCGCAAGAATTCGCAGGATACGGAAAAAAAACCGCGGAGTCATGGAAGAAGATTGGCGCGCGAGGTATAGCGATTCGTAAAAACTGCTTGAAAAGGAACGCACTGTTCTGGAAAGAATGAAATCCTCTGGAAAAACCGGAGCGGCGCGCCGTCGTCGAGGAAAATTGTGTAAAAGTGTCCTTTTCCTGTCGTCACCTAATTACGGCGCGATAACAAATTGCAAGATCGTGACTCACGTGAATTACATACCTGCGAGCACACGACTCTCGCGTGCGGACTTTAATCTGGAGCATTATTTAAGCCTGAATCGATTCACGCGTATCTCACGGCATGCATCTCGTGATAATAAATGTTTTCGTTCACCTCTCGTGACAGCTCGATGAGAAGTGCCGCGGTGCACAAATTATCAAGTCAATCTTAGGCTGTGAGATATGTGTATTAGCATAATATCGAGCTAATTGTACATATATATCGCATGTTTAATACATTCAAACGCGTGCGATCGTGGGTGTGTAAACATTCTAAAAGATTTCGTGGAAATTTTCGAGACGTTAAATTCGTCAAGTGTTTTAAGCGTTTCTTCCGGTTTCCGTCGGCTGTCATATAGTGCGGCTGAACTTTCTCGCGTGAAATTATTTTGCGTGCCAAGCAGTACGTGTGTGGCGTTTCGCTTTGTAGGGTGCTTGGCAAAGGATGAAGATTACGGAGTGATAATTATCAGTGCGCGACTGCAGACTTAGAATTGCCATCCATTCTCCTTTCTCTACAATCCTCTTTTTCGGGATGTCTGGGGTGGTTTTTCAAAAGCGTATACGACATAATTACGAGCGTTCGAAATTTAAGGGAATTTTCGAGATACATTGCTTTCACTCCTTCAGCTATTAATCCCGATCTACAGTGTAGTGAGCTTTAAGAGTCTATCTGGACAAACTTGTACGTATAGCCATGTAAATGTACGCATAAAGAAAATTATCCAACCACATTTCTATTGTGAAAAGACTTGCATAAAATACGATTGGATAATACTCTTTATGCGTACATTTATGCGGCTTCGCAAGATTGTCTGAATAGCCCCTAAGCCGAAAGAAATTGACGTATCATTGTCGAATGTGAGGAAATAATCGACTATGATTGGTCAATTTCTTGCGGCTTAAGGCTTACGGTAAATCTGAGGTTGGAACACAGACTTTTGCATAATGCATAATGTATAAGGAAATCAATCAATCAGAATCCATTTCATGAAAGGGAGAATTCTGATTCGTTCTTGATTCTCTTATGCTTTATTTATGCGTTGTGCGTGAAACGATGTGGTTTGGCGATTTTAAACCGTAAGAAATATTGACTAATCATAGCCGATTATTCCCCTCACATCCGACTGATTGATCAATTTAAATCTTAAAATCTCATTGTAGAGGCCGCTTTATGTAAAGGTGCTGCCGTTCTTAGAAATTGACTATTCTAATATCAATTTTACTGATTTATATTTCTGTACGCATCCAGAGCTGCAAGCAAAATGTCTCGGCTTTCTAGCCTGTAAGCTTTGAAAATTCGGATATGGCAACCATATACGACTATAGGTATATGCGACTAATATCATCTCTCTCATCTAATACTGACATTTCTCTATACCAATAAAATTTCATATTTAGTGCCGTCATCCCCATCGGTCCACGTGACGAGTGTACAACACAAAATCCGGTCGCGGCCTGCCAAATCCGGCCACGTATAAATCCCATAACTGCGTTCGACGGCATGCCGATCGCGAGCCAGAAACTCCAGCCAAATCGATGCTGCGTGTATGTTCACTTTCCATTATATGTGTTAACACCTGTTCCGACAGGCAGCCGTATATGCTCTCGCTCTTCACGTAACCTTCGATCGTAGAACAAGAGCCGTAATGCAAACACGAACGTATGTAAATATGTACATACGTCCTGCTATCGCGTCTCAATCAATTCAAATTTTATTTGACTAATGTTTACCGCCCTCACGCACATCTTATTCTCCCTTTTTGTTTGGTCGAAGGCACTCGAGCTATCTTGCCATTTTACGCAATCAATCAGTGACGAGAAGATTAATTTAATCACGAAATATATAATGCAAAAGTAAAGCGAAATAAAAATAAGTTTCTTCGAAAGGAAAAAAAAAAAACCAATATCGTTTTCGCAAAATATATACAATATGCCGCGTTTAATTTCAAGTTAATTAATGTGCTAAAATGGTTCCAAATTGCCCGCTCTGCGAAGAGTTAATTGATAAATAACGTGTGTACAAATAAACTTCTAACGCAATTTTATGTAAAAGTTCTCATTCGATCATCGAATAATATGAGCCCTTGATGGCTTCGTTAAGGGTGATATTCAATCTTCATTCATTATTTTAACCTCGATGCAAAATTTCATTTGTACACGACAATATTCGCCTGTTTCCTTGACATTTCATCCATTTCGTGCATTTATACGTGCATGATTGGCGTATCTAGACCAGCTTTATATGGATTGGATTGAAAAGACGAATTCCTTCTAGCGAGCTTAATCGTGTGACAGACCGGCGTGATTAATTACCTGGTAGTTCATAATTCGGCAACAAAATTCCCTTTAGTTCTACCAGCATTCATGCTCACGTATTTCCCTTCTTTTTTCATCCCTGTTTCAGTTATGAATCTTCTTCAAGTCACTTACGCTCGTTATACCGTCGTATATATAGTAGTTAGTATTCAGTCCAGATTTGCAGACCGTTTCACAGGCGGAAGATGGGAGTCGCGCGAGTAAGATACAGTTAATTCGCAACCACAAAGGATACAGGTATGTGGATAACGCAATGTTCTCCCTAATGCGGCGACCCGTTATGCTCACCCTAAACTAGATCCTATCTCAAACGGCAACTGGCCGGTTTAATAACAACATTTTCCTGTTACGCGTCATTGTTGGCTTAGCTTAATTTTCGTAAGACGAGCCAAGAGTACATTGCCTTTTTGGCGCGATCACAGAAATATGTCACGAGGAAACTAATCGAAGTAATTTCACCTTTTGTTTGTTTGGATCGAGTTTCAAGTATCAAACATTTGCGTTTTATTTACTCGTATAGCCAGATTTCGTGACCGAAATAACATGATAACGAATAATAATTCATTCTTTCGCTAATAAAATAAAATTCGTATTTTAATGTTCCAATACAAGAGTTTTGTCGGGAGAACCGATTCAAACTTTATTAATCTAACTTAGCAGATGCACGAATCTTGGGTGACTTTATGTAATTTGACGCTTTGTTCTCCTAAACGAAGATGAAGCGTTCCTCTTTCTATTCGAATTTTCTAAATCAATTACCCTCGCGTGATTATGAGACCAGGAGAGTATGTAAAATGCCTTCGCGTGTAATTATTCTTTTCTCTACTTGACCACGCAATTAAAGTATTAATAATGAGTTCCTGTCCGCCTCCTACTGCAAATAAATCAGGTAACATTAGGCGAAAGATTAAACGACAACAGTTCATCAAGATTGTAATACAATATAAATAAATCGACTGCGGACGATGTTTGATCAATATTGGGACCACGTTATACTCATTACGCCATATTACGTATTACAAAATGTTATACTTGCGAGTCGAACGCAAATATAAATTCAGCAGATCCTAGAATTGCAGATCTATCGTTGCCAAGCGCTACGAAAGATTTATGGAAACGCGTATATTTTTCGGATGACCCATTTCCATTTCTTTAGCTAAAAATGTCAAATTTGACGTTAACACAACATTAACACGCGTAAGAGTGATCACGTACACAACAACCAGTCTTGGAAATTGACGAAAAATTGCAGAGATGCTTTTTTTATTTAGCATGGCTGTGTTTTCTATACTGTTTTGAAGCTAAAGCGGTAAAACTGCAAGAACTGCAGATATATAATTTTTGTAACTTAGCAATATATTAATAATTCTGAGTTGTAAAGTCATAACTCAAATATGCAATCCCATATCAATTGGCGTTGGTAGATTGGTTGCGAGTGTACTTAAGAGATCAGGAGAAGTTTCTACGCAAAAGTATTCGTCAAATTTAGATGATTTAATTATAGAATTTGAAAGCAGCTTACAAGAACGAAAATAAAAAAAAAGAATAAGTCAGCTCATTTCTCGATCGACAACGGAGGAGAATGACGATCGAGAGTGACGCCGGACTCGAACGCGTCATACACGGCGCGTTTACGGCTCTCATGGTCGATTAACTTCACACGACGTCATCGACGGTCAACCGACCATGATTACGGATGGGGTGAAATTACAAATGCGCGATCGATCGATCGAAGGGCACTATACGACTATCTCCAAATTACGCCCGGAAGGGCACAGGTTCTAGGACGGATACTCGACAACGTATTAATATCCTCGCATCGCATCGCATCACATTGCATCGTATCGTATCACATCGTATCGCATCGCATCCGATCGCATCGCCTCGGGTGCAATCTTGAAACGATGTACTTCTCCCAGCCATCCAGAAGTGGCAGCCGGAGTACCAAGTTCTATGAATTTCCGCCTTTCCATCGCAAACTCGCGGCGATGGTAAAAACTCACGAGCAAACGCGCACTCACGGGCTGATACTCGAGCGATAAAATTAACGAGCATCGTTTACCTCCGAGACACGCGATCCGACTTAGCGTCACTCCCCAGTCGGATAACGCAGCCGAACGCGAAAAGCAGACCCCGAAGACTCGCAGGAAAAGTGATTAAAGATCTCTTACTATCGCGTGACACGCCCATAAACGGGTGATAAAAAAAGGAAATCACATAAATCGTTCTCTTCCGAGTTTTAAGACGATATGTATATGTAGGATGCATGTGCCTACAGTGGAAATGCGACGCGTGCTCGGAGAGTATTCCGAGGATCGTATTCGTTTAACTGCGACATGTAATTGCGCTCTCAGGGCGATTTATTTAATCCCTCTTTCACACCTGCTTGCAAGGAGGATACAATTCCATCGTAACTTCAGTTCTAAGCTCGGCGATGTCGATTACGTCGTCTCTTAAGATTCGTCGTAACTATATATTCCTTCTCAAATTTTCCAGTTGTAAACTATCTTTTTTGTTTTGTCAACAATAAATGACATTGTACTAGAAAGTTATTATTACGTAGCATTGTTTAGTCTTTTAATTATAATTCGTATTAGAAATACCTTCCAAGATGGTACATGAAATTGTTTGGTCTTTCAACGTACGAGATAAACAAATGTGTTATCGTATTTCGTAAAGAAAAAAGATTTTAAAAAATAATTTATTAATTTTATGCAACACAAAAAGAAAATTTCGGATATTGCGGGACAAAGTATTGCTGGTTTTACCTTCAGCAACCGATTTGATTCTGATTTATGTGATGCTGGCTTTATTCAAATGTCATAAACACACGACCCAGTGATATTTGTCTAATTCGGTCTGATTATTTTGAACAAGGAGATAACCACTGGCTAAAATATTGTTCCACAAATACGTGATTTTGTATAATTTTATCTCATTATAAATAATTTTCTTCATCACATATAAAGTCACATTTGGTAAAATAAACAATTTTATTTAATATTACACGATAATTTCTCGTGATTGCATATGTAATTATCGGATTATACATAGAAATTTCGTATGAATTTTATGACTTCGGGGACTCTGTCCCACGATTACATTAAGTGATTACCCCCTCGATCTTGAATTTATGCAACTTGAGAAAATAGTTTTTCTAAAGCTCTAAATTTACAAGAGTAGATTCTTTGATTTTTACCAACAACTTTCCTATGGACTATTTTAACCTGATCGTCTATCGTTTGATAAATAAATAGCAAGTAAGCTTGATAAATAAGATATAAATTTAGTTATATATTAATGAACTTAGTAATTCTTTAATATGGTATGGCCGACTTTTGCGCCACTCTTGTGAATCTAGAACTTTACATATTTCTCTATTTGGCCTCGTTTATTTATCACGTCAAAAGTACTCTGAATTGCCTTCCGTTCGACCCGCTGACTGCAGAAATCGCGATAAGAATCACGACTCAGGATTGCTATAGTGCAATCGATATCGACGAAATTCCATCCGCGATCCATTCGTCGCGTTATGCAGCTCGAAATTACCAAAATCGCAAAAAAAAGGAATACTTTTTGTACATAATGTGGAGGAGATTGGAAGACGATTTTGATCAAACTATACGACATTGCTCCGTAGACACGTTACTTGGAGACACTCCGAGATGAATACGCGAAAAGCGTTGCTAAAATTGCGTGACGAGCTTTCATTATCATATAAAAATTGTACCCTTTTTTGTTAGAAAATTAGATCAGCCTATATTTAAACGCGCGGTGTATAATTAAAATTTACGTGAACTATTTTTTTTCTCCGTACTGTATTATATATAAGTATCTAATTTGTCGCATCAAATCCTATCATATAAAGTTATCATTGTTATTACATAATGTAATAACATATAGCAGGCCCGTCTAATTTAAGCTTCGCAGCCAAAATACAAAGCCATTGACGCACAAAAATCTAAAAACGCGTCTGAACGACGTGTTTATCGATACTTCAAAGTCCCTGCAATCTTATCCACATTGTTCGCCTCGATGGCTCTTTGCGTTTTGGTTCCGGAGCTCAAATTGGACAGGCCTGACACAGAATCATAATATTGTAATTAAGAAAAATTTATGTCGCCACAAATCTCCCAATTTGCTCGCACATTTTTGCCGAACCATCAGCAAGAGGAGGTACGTGTATCGCGCGTAAGGAAGAAATAATAAACGATGTATCCAAGCAACGACAGTCGCAAGAATATAATATAGGTCTGCTTTTTGCTTCTGTACAAGACTGCACTAGAACTCTTTCTCACTTTCGCCCAAATCTCAAACAGATATACCTATCTCAAAGTTTAAGCTCCAAAAGTGTGTGCTAGTTCAGCCACAGAAAACAGACCTAATATCGCGAATAATGCTCAGCGAGTCTCGGGACTTCCCGAGACCGATCGTAGCTCGTTCTATGAACGGCAAGGCCGTTTTCAGTACGGCGCTCACATTCGCGAAGTTTATGAAGAAATTTTTCACCGTTCGGTACGCATTCACTCGGTATACGGACGTGCGGAAAATTCTCGCAATTTATCTCGCTCGCTTATTATACGTACATGTATATATATATGTGTGTGTATATATCATCAATATATGAATGTATATACATATATATTATATAAAAAATATACACACATATACACAATATGTATGTTTCAATATATATACGTATATATGTGACGTGGTTGTCAATCAACTCGCGCGCTCGTCGTCTGCGTGTTGCATTAACGACGATGTAGTATAGATCGTGTTTGTATCGCGCATTCAATTCTCAGCACTCGGCGAAGCTTAAGCCTTTCTCGCCAGAAGGTGCGGTGTACATCTCTCCGTTACCCCATTACCTCTGTCTTCCTCTTTCCGCTTTATCTTTTTTTTTTTCTCTTTTACGTCACCCTACGTTCACATTTCTCGGCTAATTCGCCGCGAAATGTCGGTATAAAATTACGGTACATGGTGAGGATGGGCAGAAGGAGTAAACAAGGACTCACAAATTGCTATATTTACCTGTTCCGTTCTCCCCGCTCGGCCGGATGCGCGCATCGTATCGGCCTGGTCCTAGGATGTTGTCGAGCACTTGCTTCTCTTTCTCTCGAAAGTTCACTTTTGGCTCTTTACATCTGAAAGAACGTACCAACGAGGTCGTCGGTGTTATAAAGAGAAAGAAGTGGAACTTTTAGAAAAAGATTCCTAAGGCTCTAACTCGATCGTAATAAATAAATTGTGAAAGTAGAAAATATTAACAATTACAGCAGTATAAATATACAATAATGACAAGTAATAACAGTTTTGCTAAAGTATTTAAAATTTAGATAGATACGGATATGAAAATAATTTTGTCGGAAATTCTTAAAATAATTATGTGGGACATTCAAACTGATAGCTAGAATATTAAAACTTTTTGCAGTGTTATTCATCACGCTTGAATTTCCCATATAATTATTTTGATGACCCTAGAAAACTATTTTCAGAATCTACCCAAATTTTCAGATAATTTAGCAAAATCGTTATTTCCATGTAAAGGACATATTTCACCCTGGCCTTTTCAAACAATTTATAATTCAAATTTATTCATAACTTTATCGTATTTCTAATCGTAATATATGTATTTTAATATATATACCTTACACACATATGTGCACATAATGTATATACTTTATGTATGTATTCAGATTCTTCAAATATCTTTTGTATTACACGGCACACAAACTTATAGGTAATAGATAGAATTCTATCCTGAACTTTGGCGCAAATTATGGAAGACATTTAAAATGGTTTATAAAAGGTGCACGCATATTGTCGTAGAAAATACTTCGCAAATCGTTGTTATAAAATTTTTTAAGGTTACTTTACAAATCCTATTTCGTTCAATTCTGCTCGCGCGACAAAATTTCGAAGGTGGCGCACGTTGGTCCGCTCATAAACTTTAATTCCGCATAAGCTATATGCATAGCAACAATAATCCTGTGGGTCAATAACATACATCTTTACGAGCGACACAGAATTCTTTTTCAGAATTATGTTTCTAGAGACCTGCTCTCGCGGAATCTTGAATTGACGTTGTTTCAAGAGCGTGTATAACTGTTTTATTATTAACTCAGGCGGTAAAACCGCAGTTAACTGCGCGCGAACAAAATTTGTACGAGGGACTGCCAGAGCAACAATTTGACATACGTTTTTACACACCCCCGTTAATGAAACAACCTACCTCGATGGATGCAGCAGCACCGCTAGTAACACCAGTAACAGTGGTACTCCAGGCCACATTGCGCCGGCCTGCAAGCAAACAAGATGCACACACTTTCATAAAAATTCTGCTGCGGAACGAATCCCTACACGGATTCGCGCATTAACGATGATTAAGCTTATATATCTCACACCGCACAGATGCAATCTACACATAATTTCTCCCCTGCGATCCGTAATATCTCATCTTTATTAGACTCATTTTTATTTACGTTATCGACACTGCGCCAAGCAAAAACGAACGACACAATCTGCTTTTTCTTCGCAGATCAGGAAAATCTACCCGCTCGGAATTATACATATCCCGCTATAATTCCCATTGATTTTAATTGCCGTTGATGCACCCTCGACTGATGTTGTTTCCAAACTAAACCGACATAATTGCGATATCGCACGTGCGATATTTAATAGCGGAGGAGCCGAAGTACAAAGCCGGGGATGCCTCCATTTACCATGTCTCACCAACTTCCTGATGATTGATTGAATTAAGACGATGCGCGCACGTGTGTGTGTGTGTGTGCGCGCGCGGATCAAAGCGCAGAGAGGACTACCCGTGTACTCCTTTATGCGTACCGCACAAGAGTATCAACTGTATCACGAGATTAAGCTGGTTATACGCGGAGAAGAAAATACATTCCCCGTTTCTCAGTCTACACGAGTACAGAGGTATCAGTAGTATATCCGTAACTTCGGTTAAAGAAGAATTGGAGCGATACCAATCGCTGTCCGTGGGTCACTGAGAGAATGTCGGGCGTGAATTCTCTTCGAGGTTCGTTCACGAATGACGAGTTCTATTTGCCTATCTGTTCCGCTTATCTCATCCGAGGAGGTAACTCAATAATAATTGTGAATTGGACGGTCGCCCCGACCGTGAATCAAGGTAGAAGATATGGTAGAGGTGGTCGTGTGTTGCATTAAGAATTGAATGAATGCCAAGACACACGCGTGGCCTATTTTTGTCGGGAAAATAAGGAACTTTGATGGATCAAGCGATCACGTGAGAAATCTTGCACATCGCACGTGTTTATTCCGTGACTAAAACGTCTACCGCAATTCTACGCAAAATACTCTACAGCGAAATATATATTTCCTCTGTGGCTGAGAAGCCTACGAATAATCGCGTGACGATTCGTAGAGAATTACGGGTGTTTTAAGCTCGCGCGAAACACGGTAGATGCCCCGGGCGACGTCCGTCGGCAATATTGCCGGGTAACCCGAAAGTTTCGAGTACTGTGACCCAAACCCGACCCGCGTTACAGCCGACCCGACCTCGAGCTAGAAGCCGAGATATCCGCAGATTCCAAGTACTTGAGAGACCTTAATCGGCTGTTTGAATGCTTCGCGGTCAATTTCTCTCTCCTGCCCTTCTCCTTGCATTATTGTTGTCGAGATATGCGCATAATTTTGAATTTTAATTAAAAAATTATCTATATAGATTTGCTAAGAGGACACTAGAGTGAGTATCCAAGCAAGTATTTCTACCTAAGCAAAGATTTACCGCAATTTAAATACTTATTTTTAATCGCGTGACTATCTCGAAATTGAAAGAATTAAACCTGCAAATGAAATTTGCACAAGATTTATTTACAGGTCGCGTTGACATTACAATCTTTGCTATGTATAATACTTAATAATCTCCGTCGTAGAATACTACGCTGTTTGCTGCTTAAATCATTGGTAATTGACGAGTCCAATGATACGATGAAGTACGCCAACGCGAAAATGTTTTTAACGGACTTTATCTCGGATGGCAGGAGACGAGGGGAAAATGATGATCACATGAAGGCGTGATTGCAGTTAACGAGGTCCATACGCGAACGACAAACAAGTGAACGGCCAAGTACGTAACAAGAGGTCCTTTTCAGTATCAGCAATGTCAGTGTCGTTCGCGGCATAGGGGAAGACACAAGAGTCACCCTTATCGACACGCAATATCTTCGTCCGTTATTAAATTACACTCGATTCTCTAACACGTATATTAATGAATTAGCACTTTCTCAGCAATAATAAATAAGTTCCCGTTAATTCTATTGACAAACACATCCGTAAACATTTAAAGTATCACGAAACTGAACTAACTAATCCGAACAACATTTTCCGTAACATTAACCGTAAGACGTACCGTAAGAGTTAGCCAATCGGAGCTGAAAGTTTTTGAAAATTCTTGACTGATTCGCTAACTTTTACGATACCGTTAAGACTCACGATTACTGTTACGGAAAGTGTGCGGCAGTTCAAAGTCCTACAATAGGAGTAGTAAGCCTGAAAAGATATTAGTCAATCACAATCGAATATGAGAATAATCGATTATAATTGATTGATTTCTTATGACTGTGTTTCAGGACTTTATAACAGTCTGGCTACGAGATGACAAATTTTGATTGGCCCGTCATTTTTATCAATTTCTGTAAATTAAAATGAATAAGATAGTAGTTAGAATAAGAGATAATATATATAAAAAAGAGACAGTATATATACCCTTCTGTCTTGCGCTTATTTTGACAAAATTGCTGGCCAGACTCTTATAGGGTTCACAACAGAGAAGTCTTAAGAAATTGACCAAGCGATTTTTCTCCTAGCATTCGACTATGATTGGTCAATTTCTCACGACTTAAGATCTACTATCCTATTGCAGACGGTGTTAAGAAAGAAAATTCCAAGGTAGAGTCGTATTCTCGAGGTGAACTCGCGCGAAGAAACGGTGAGCTGCGATTTGAGAAATTTGCTGCAATCTGTGTATTGAAATAAATGTTTCCCAATCGTTCCGAGTGTCAGTAAGAGTTATCGCGAGTGTATTAAGAATATCGATCTCTTTTGGTGATCTAATAGACCCTATCTTCATACCGAAGCTACATGAATAGACCACGCGGACACTATAACTCATAATTTAGGTACGGTGCTGACAAATGGTGACAAAGAAGAAGAGCGCGTGTGGGTAGGTTACCGAAGAGGGGAAGGCAAGCGATTTACGACACATACTCTCTCCTCTCCCCGAACTAGTTTGCCGTCTGTATTTCCATCTCTTTCATCATTATCGCGGAGTAACGCTCTAAACGAAAATACGAGGATTTCGTCCGCGACAGATTAGCTTATCGTGCGAAATCACGGATCAACGCGATCAGTCATCGATTGGTAAAAGCCAATTTAATGGAGGGTAAATAAAGCGCTCGAAAATGCATCTGCGCCGTAGTTTAATAGCATCATATATTTGACACGTCCCTGCAATTTATCAATCTTGATGTAACCTTAATGGCAAAATGTACATACGTCATGCTTATCGTTACGCAAAATCCGATGGAAAACGGAATTAGCATAGAGCGCATGATAAAAATCTAATAATATTTATAGCCTGTCCCGCAACATTATGCACAAAATCAGTTATCTGTAAACGTCTTTCTTTATCTCTATTCTTCTTTTCTCTTTCTCTTTTTTTCTTACCTTATCGAGTTAATTTTACAGACACACACAAATTGCAATAAATATATCTAAGGGGAATGATCGTTACAGTGAAACATTCATTACTTTCTATTACATCTATTACATTTAAATAAATACTTGAAAAGCTTTTACATAAAATATATGTACATTTAGCCGCTAAATTACACGTTAGATTAAGCGTAACGGACGCGGTGACGGATGGAGGTGTTGTTGCATGACGAAGAGGTGCAGTTTTCTAGTCGCATGATCTTTGACAATGTCAGGCGATTGACCCATCAATCCGTTCGTCCGTATTCCGTTACGTTCGTATCTGCGAATACGTCTTTCCGTTCTGCCAATTGCCCATATTTATCTGTCCGTCCCGTCCGTTTCGGCGTTGCCGTCGATCCGCCCATCAGGTCCATCGGTCCATCTATCAACCTCTGCCCGTCCATCCCGTGTCACCCGCCAAACTGAATGCGTGCGTGCGTGCATACTTATCCAATCTATCTGCCAATCTATCCCACTTGTCCCCGTGAGCCTCCTCTCTCTCTCTCTCTCTCTCTCTCTCTCGCATTCACTCTTTCTTTCCTTCTCTCTCTCTCTCTCTCCCTCGCTCTCTCATTTTATCTATCTGTTTATCTATCTACCCTTTCGTAGTCGTTTGCCTTATTCGCGCTCCCACTTGGATCTTACACGCCGCCTCGATCGACCTACAGAACGACCTATCGCACGCCCGTTCAACTCGTTCTCCACTCCCGCGAATCCCGCGAGAGTCCCGGGAATTCCCCGAGACGTGATTCTCTCGTGTGCGAACGTCGCGGCGCAGACGAGATCCGGAAGGAGGTTCGCGGCCAACGGCACGCAGCCGTCAAAGTCAAGATAGGACGGAGAAGCTGTCACTGGACCCTTACCTGGAGTGGCTGACAATCCTAGATGCTGGACACCTCGCAGCTACGCTCGATTATTGGCATTGTTTAGAGCGTCGCTCTTCGTCGGCACGACACTCTAACAGGCCGCCGAACTCTCTCCCTCTCCTCTCTCTCCCCCTCTCTCTCTCTCTCTCTCTCTCTCTAGCTATCTAACTACCTCTCCTCTCTCTAGCTCTCTCTCGCTCGACTCGTAAAGTGTCCTACCTCGTGAGGTTCGTCTCCTGGACTGCCACCGTGGAGAAAGCTACATGCACCCATACCTACTACCTGGTTGCTGGCGCTATTGATCCCGGACCCCCAGACTCCCAACCGACCCACGCAGACGCCTCGCGTTGCTGCGTCGCTTTAGCAACGTGACGTCATTCACCGCCCCGCGACGCCCAGCCCACCGCCAGGATTTTCTATACATCTTTCGCCTCTCTCTCGCAAACCTTTCCTGCGCTGCTGCCGCCACCGCAGCTGCGGCCGCTACCACCACCGCGCTACCGACGACGACGACGACGTCGGCGCCATCGGCTCCTCTTGGTTCCAACATCCCCGTGTACCACAACATCGCGTCACCGATCTCACCACGAACGTCCGATTTCAACGAACTGCGTATATGTAAACAGCGCCATTGATAAATAAAATATGGTTATCTCTCCATCTCTATACCTGGCAATTTATTAATAAACATGTAAA